TTGTTTGTAGAATTATAAGCCTAGTACGCAAGGTATCATTGCTGGACAGGCAGCCCCCAAGCCTGATTGTCCTGTCTGCCTAACATGGTTCCTTGAGTGAAAGCTTCTTGTGATTAACCCAAAGCCCATTTTATCCTTGAAAACAGAATAAGAAATTAATTCCACTTCTCTTCAGAGGAAGCCACCAACCACTGCTCTTTTCTCCAATTCTCAGAGAAAACGATGGAGATCTTTCTACATGGAAGGTTTAATAATTAGCATGTGGCTACGAGGTGTCTCTCAGTGCCCAGATCTCTGTTTCCCAGTCACAAGGTTGTTCACCTGCAGGGTGGGGCTAGGGTTTCTCAAGTTTTGACTCACCCCAGAAATAAAGCTTGACTGTGCCCTCCCTTTCCAGATGGAGTCACGGGCACACAGGTGCAACTCCCTTGAGTGGGAAGATGCAGCATGGCCTTGTGGCTGGCTGGACTGGTCAGAGTGGGAGTGGGGACTACAGAGGAATAGTTTCTCACAGCTTTTCAGGACCCACTCTGGCTAGAGGAGTTGTTTGACATAGGGTGATCTGAAGGATACCAAGAAGTCTCTCCTCCTCCTTTGAAAGAATAATACCCTGCCCTCGCCAGTTAGAGCATCTGAAAAACAGCCATTGCAGTTTTAAGTAATTTGGGTTACCCCTTTCTCCCTGCAGAATTTCAACTTTAACCACCATCAGAGCCAGTTTTCTTATTTAAAAAAATATGTAATACAATTAACTTTATTCATAGCATGTTGTGAACATACAGAATTTAATGACTATTAAAAATGCACCCATGCCTTGCATTGTGGGGAAAAGAATCAGTCAGTCTCTCAGAGGAAGGAGGATATGCGTAGAGGCAGAGTATCATGGAAGGAAGGAGACATGGGGAAAAAAAGCAGAGACCTCCAAAATCAGCATCCTAATTCATTCTTAATGGATCCTCTGTTAAGAAGCTCTCTAGGTCAATTTTTCAGTTGGCTGAAAATAATGAAGTCAGGAGACCTACGATCCAACTCTGGCCTTGGCATTAATGTCTGTATGACCTTGAGCAAGACATGTCCTCATTCCAAATCCTAGTTTTCCTCTCTATAAAACTATGATTCTGTGTTTATCAAGGAAACTGAATGCCAAGGTTTTCAAGTGTGCAATGTGTTAAATGTGCATGAGGCTGTGGTACATATTCATGATGTGGCAAACACAATCACTTCAATGCCGCCATGGTTAGGTTTTTAGCTCCCAGAGAATCCTCTGAGGTGATAATTGTGCTATAAGCCATGTCTCTATAATTAGATAGAATTCTTCAAAACTTGTCAGGAATTTTTTGCTGATAAAGAATGAGGCCAGTGATTGGATGGGTAAGAAAAAAATAGGAGGAATTTCATTTCAGAAAGTCATGTGGGTAAGAAACGAGGGAGTGGAAACGTCCACCATTCAGAGTCCACATGCACACGTTGATGTTCTCAAGGTGCCAGGCTTGTGAATATGCATTGCTTGGGGCCAGCCAGACCTGTCTTGCTGTGTCTATGAAGGACAGTTTAGATCAGGGGAAGCACAAAAGAGTGGGAAAGAAGAAATGAGGGGGCAGTAGAAAGAAGAAGAAATTAGGGTTCAAGTTGAATGGAGAATGGGATGGAATGCAGAACCCCAAAGCTGAAGCCCAGAAAATTACATTCTTCATGTCGATAAACTGGGGAGTAGAGGGTAGAGGAGGCCTTGTCTAAACAGGGAAATTAAGGCAAGGGTTAAATTTTAAATGAGGATGATTCAGAACAGTGAGCACTATTTGGTCTACATGTGACTGAAAGATCAGAAAAGCTTATTAGTCATGGTAACCACCCAGTGACAATCACTTGTTCAGTGTAGAAAAACTCTGGTTGTACTGGAAACCCTAGGCCAATTAACTCAGCCCCACCTTCCCCAATTGCATTTTGTAGTATATTTCATTTAACTCCTTTGGGTTAGAGTTTTACACTGTAAACTCAGATTCACACTACACAACAGAAATGCCACAAAGATTAAATGAGACAAAGAGTTTGAAAAATGCTTTGGAAAGTACCCCAAGGTGTTTCCTGTCATTTTCCAGGCAGTCTTTCACTTGGTTGTAAAAGTGACAGGAATGATCACATATTGGCTTGTCATCAAGTTGGATGTTGAGGCCTGAGGAGGTGGCCAAAGGTGGAGCAGCCTTCGATAGCTGTCTTGCCTTCCTCCATCCCAGGACCAGGAGTCAACCGCAGGGCCAGGGTTCCTTCTTCCCATCTAGGTATGTGCTTGAGTAGAGTTTTAGGTTTAGCAATAAAAGTAGAGTTTCCCAGGTATGATGGCATATTTTTTGTTATGCCAGCACTCTAGGAGACTAAGGCAGGGGATGAACAAATTCCAGACCAATCTGGGCAATTTAAAAACTTAGTGAGACTTTGCCTCAAAATATAAAAACAAAGGGAAGGGAGAAAAGGGAAAGGGAAGAAAGGAGGGAAGAAAGGGGAAGAAAGGGGAAAATAGCTCAGTATGAAGGCCTTAGGTTCAATCCCCACCGTGAAAGCAACAAAACAAAACAAAACTGAAAGAAATCCAACCTGTCCATTTAAATTTGTACTTTGAATAAATAATTTTTAATGTACATGTGACTTGTACAATAATTGGGACATGCTCTAGAAAATTCTGTGGTTTACCTGAAATTTGAATTCTACCAGACCTTATATTTTATGTGGCAAGTCTACCACAGAGACCATGCTATGTCCTCCCCTCTGGGCTTACTCGTCAGTAGTGCACCTCCCAAGGGGCAGGTGAGGACAACACCCCCACAGACTGGGGCTTCTTTCACGTTGGCTTCTATTTAGGCTCCAGGAGAAGACACATAGATCAGGAAACACGGAGGCACTGGGTACTGGGGATCAGAGGGGTGCTGATGGCATCTATAGCAAGCCATTCACGTCTGGCTGAAGGTTGAAAAAACCTTTGAGTCATTCACATCTGAGTTCAAATACCATGTGTGCTGTTTACTTCCTGTGTCATCATTCTAAGTCTCATTTCTCATCTTTAAAATAGTGGCGCTCTCATCTTGACCATAAAGATGAAATGAAATAATAAGCATAAAAGGTGGTTTCACAGCTAGGCACACAGAGAGAGTAGGTCAACAAAAATGATATCAATTTATCAGAAATGTTGCAAACTCTATCTTGTCCCTCTTTCTCCTCCTTTCATGAGATTTCTCATAACTTTTGGTCTGAGAGCAGCTCTTCAGTATTGCTCTGTTTTTAAAAGTTCTTGAATCCTTGAGTTTGGGAAAACATCTTTGGTGGGTGAAATTAGCTTGTGCAGAAGAATCAAGTGCTGCAAACACCTGGTGGGTGGGTTTCATCTCAAGAGGCCCATAAAGCAAGACCCTGGAGGAAGTGCAGGTGGGAGAAGTGGATGAGGAATTCTCTTTAAGGTGGTAATCAGTGCCTCATCAAGGACTTGGGGCAGTTTGGGGGCCCTTATAAGAGTTCCCTGAATGGCTGCTCCCAAGTCAGCCCCCAGCCTTCTCTCCCAGAGCCCAGTTCTCTGCCTTTGGTAAGTGTGAATGCACCTGTCCTCGTAGGATCCACTAGCCTCTTTCCTTTTTCTTGAACTGTCTCGAGCCGCTAGGCCAGGCTTTTCTCTTATTCTTGGGTAATCAGCAAAATGATATAGCCTTCTAACAACTGGAGATGTTGCTCTAATTATTACTTATGAAATCTAATCTCCACTCCCACTCCATTGCTAAATATAATTTATTTCCTGATTTTGGGCTGGATTTCTAGGTAAGAGAATTTTTCTAATTGAAAGTGTACTATTTACAGCTATGGCATTTTATAGTAATTTTGAACCCTACTTTAAAGCTTTCTCCAGCTCTATCTTATCTTTTGTCCCCACCAACAAGCTTTAAATTTTGCTTTTACATTCATAGAATGTATATTGGATATTGTATTTCACATTATGCAGTCCTTGCTCTTTATTCTAATTGTCACCTCTCCAACTTCTGTACTTCCCGTTTATAATTAACAATTTAGAAGCCAAGGTATGCTGTCTACATGGAAAGCCAGAGACACTCATCAGAACTGGGACAGCCTCAGGAATCTTCCAAACCTGAATCTTCTCTTAAGGGCTGCTGTTTATTACCTATGTGATCTTTTTTTAAAAATTCAGAAATTGCAAGATGCCTTCGGGGACTCCTAGAAGTGAGTGGAAGATTTGCACTAGAACCCATGCCTGAGCCTTTGGCTAGTGTTCTTTTTTTCGACCAGGCTGTGTTTTGGTAAAACATTCTCCTGTGGTTCTTTGCCGATTGATCTACTGGGCCCTCACAGGCCCCATTTCTTATTCTCCATGGAAAGCTAGAACTACCATTTTATAGTCACTTTAAATGACTTCTGACCATTTCACATGAATCAGTAGTAGAGTGGGGATAGAATCCAGGCATCTGTGTTCCTGAAATATTCTTTCTCCAGACCCATCACTACATAGCAATTTCTTCTAAGATGAGGCCACTCATCTTCTTTCTCAAGCCCTTTCTTCTTTGCTTATGCTTCCTGTCTGCCTCTTCCAAGGTAGCCAGTTTACATCATCCAGATCCATCAGCAAAAATAGAATGTCTTGGACTTGTAAATGCCTAGGCTTCTTTTTAATCCTGAATTCTGTTGGTCACTTTATTTTGTACCAGGATCAAGAAATAAATCATGTGTTCAATTAAGAGTTCATTGGAGGATGAAAGAAATAGGGAATAAGACTAGTATGAAGGAAGGAAGGAAAAAAAGAAGGAAGAAAAAAGGAAAAAAGAAAGAAAGGGAGATCACAATGGATTCTTAGTAATAAATCCATTAATCAGCATGAAGTTATTAGTCACAGGTCATAGCTTGGTAGATGTAGAAAAATACTCCAGTAAGAGTCATGGAGAAGTAAAGGAGCCCTTCTCATGATGTCAGTGCACAGGCTCCCCTCAGGCTTATGTCTCCTTACAGCAATGTCTTCTCAGCAACAGAAGCCCTTAAAGTGCCCACCCCAGCAGGCCCAGCAGCAGCAGGTGAAGCAGCCCTGCCAGCCATCCCCAGTCAAATGTTGAGACCTGCTCACCTAAAACCAAGGATCCATGTGCTTCCCAGGCCAAGAAGTAATGTCCACTCCAAAGCACAATACGGCAGAAGCATCCCTCAGCCCAGTAAGCTCCCAAGAGTAAACAGAAGTAAAGATGCATGGTGGATTGCCGCCTGCCCATCACTCAGGCTGCTAGATGGAGCTGCGGCTTTGTCCTGATTCCCTTTCCTCTAATTCCAGGCTGTCCCCCTTTTCCATCTATACAGGAACCAATGAAGCATTGCAAGAATTTGTTCCCATTAAAGCAGTCAACAAACACAAGGTTTCTTCTATATGCCACCTTGACCTGTCCTATATGCCACCTTGGTGCTATCTCAGGTGGGCATGAAGAAGATGTCATCCTCTCTAGTCTCTAGTTTTGCCAATATTATGGCAGCATTCATGTTCCAAAGTAAAAAAGGATCTGGACATCTTCTGAAGTTCTATCTTTACCAATGGGGATCCCTAGCTGATATAAAGTTTCTACCTCAGTCTTTTCTTCCAATGACCCCTCTCAGGACTTCTCTCCTGTTTCCCATGCTAATTCATTTGTATTTCATTCCTGAATGTACTGCCCCTTCCTATTATCAACCTCATTCTGTGATCCAGTTATTGATTTAAAGGTAGTATTTTGGGGAAATGACTGTGTCAGTGTCTGCCTGTGAAACTTCAAGGAGTCAATTATGAGTAGAATTATTCTCTGAGAGTTAATGATGGGTTAAACTCAGATCATTATGCTTCTTTGGTAAGAGAGATAGGAGAACAAACCCTGGAACTAGTTAACAAGAGCCTGAGAGATCTAGAGAAGATCAAAAGGGAAAGAAACATTTATTTCTTACTATTAGAAATCCAGTCCATCTGATAACGTGGCTTTTACCCCTTGGCAGTTGCCATTCTGAAACAGCAGACAAAAAATACATAAATGACTTGACTACTGCAAAACCCTTACTCAGAAATGTGAAAATAACTTTTTCATGCACTAGTTTATTGTCCACTCATTTTCCATTCACTCACTATAGTATTTAGCACATTGTAGTGTGAACTTAATTTTCCACTCTGTCATATATCAGCTGTTTTCCCAGAGTTATACAGGGACAGTCTGTCTGAGACTCATTGCATTCTTTGGAAATGAATGTCATTTTTTTTACTTAGAGAAAATTTTTCTGGAGATAAAAAGATTGCTCTGAAGACTTTTACAAAGTATACAGGCTTTGGTTTCCTCAATTAATCCAACATCATACTCTATTTCAAGAAATCATGTTTTTGCAGCTGGTGTCCTAACCCTCCTCATCTTTGGATGAGACTTATCTTCTATATTAGAAAGAAGGAACGAACGTCCTTGATGTGAAAAGAAATGAGTCTTTAAAATAGAGATCTTGAGAAAAGAATAACTAAACACACAGCCAGACTTTCTGCTCTTGAATTTTATTCTTTTGGGATTTGCTCACTGAATTTTAGTTGTCATCAGCAATACCAATAATAAATTACTTCTTCATTTAACATACTAGAGTGAAAAGGAATTAACAACTACCCTCTTTATTTTCCCTTAAAATAACTGTGCATGGCTGATATTTTAAAGTAGTAATGATTTAAAACTCAGTGGGTATCAATATTAACCCATAAAGTCTAATTAATGTCAAAACAATTCATATTCAGAAGTGATTATGTTTAACCCTAAGGAACTTTTTGACAGCCTTTCTGCACCTCAGTCTCTGCACCTTGAAATCACTCCCTTCTGTCAAACAGAGGAGCTGATGCATAATGGCAGTTATCTTTCTGGAGTTTTTTCATCCGGGGCCCAGCTAATGTCTTGGTCACAGTTTGGGGGTGCTATGTCCCAGGAAGACCCTGGAAAATCCTCGCTTTGAATTTGGATTCCAACATTGACAGAATTGCACAGTATTTGATTTCTGGACAGCCAGAAGTAATAAAGACAATAAATGTTTCTGCTATGGTTTGTGTTTAAGGCTACTGGTTCATTGGAGAAGGGGACATGCCCATAGGTTCCATGCTAATGACCAAGGACAGAATCTTACCACTGTAGGAAGACCTGAGGACCCATTCCCTCATAAAAAAATGTTTCTGTGTAATTTTGCCATTCAAAGGTTTACAAAGCAAAATTTATTTATATCAAAATCCTAATCATATATGTGGTGATTTCTTCATTCTTGGTTCCTTTCTGCATAAATTAAGGTAATGTCAGAATGCAAAGGAACACTCTATACCGTTTTGTTGAACTTTCACTGACCAAAAGAAGACTCAAGTACTCTCCCTAGTTCCTGTATAAAGTATAGTAAGTCTTCATCTACTCTAAAATTTCCCTCACAAAACCCAAAACGCATCATTATCCAACAGTACTAAATAGCTCACTTTTCTCTACATAGAGTATTCATTTAGCTTCTGTGTTGCATGGGTCTTTGTGTGTGTTTTGTTCATTCTATTTCATCTAGAATATTAGTTTTCCATCTTGCTGTTTAAGATATCTTCCTAGTTTTAAGAATTTGATTCACATATTTCCACAAAATGTACCTTAAAATGTTAGAAAAATCTAATATTCAGAACTCTCATAATACTTATTATAAATTTTTATTAATATACTTATTTTATTAAGTATATTATTTTCATTATAATTTTTTTTTTTTTTTGTGGTACTGGAGGGTTGAACCCAGAGCCTTTGCATGGAGCTACATCCCAAGCCCTTTTAATACTTTTCTTCAAAACAGACCTTGCTAAGTCACTAAATTGCCCAGGGTGGGCTTGAACTTACAGTTCTCTTGCTTTAGTTCCTCAGAGTGTTAGAATTTCAGGTGTGAACTGCCAGGGCCAGTTTGTAATTTGCTCTTTAGATGTCTAATTCCCCTATTATATTATGAGCTCTTTAGTCACTGGGATCTTATGGATGTCACTACCCCCAAATGTACAGCTGGATTTCCAAAAGCATGGAAGTACCACTTCTGAGAAGAGTGGTACTTCCTTCTTCTGAGAAGAGGGTTGCTTTTGGCAAACTAGAATTCTAGTGTCTCTCTGGACAAAATTTATAAGTTGCCTGCACTCGCTGCTGTCCCAAATACTCCAGAAAGAGGAAAAGCAGAAAGAGCAACAAAATTTTAACCTAGGATAATCTGTGAATTCTATAAGTGAGCAGAAGAATAAACATCTAGACCTTTTACTGTGAAGGATCTTTGTTGAGGACAGAGAAACCAAGACTTATGAATGCCTTTGGGGAATTCAATCAAGAGGCTGCTTTTTAACTAAAGAAACTCAGTGTACTCTGGGAATGATTAGGTTAAGTACCTACTAAGTATCTAAGCAGAAAGTCTCTGAGAAGCAGAGTTAAATTTTTAGCCAGTTTAGGGACAGTTAAGTGAGCTTGCAACCTTCTGGGGGAGGGGCTCTGCAAGATTTACCAATTAAAGAGTTAAGAGTTGTAAGGCCAGGGAAGAATCTGATCTGTAGAGCAGAAGACAAAAAATAGTTGCCTCCTGGAGGACCACAATGACTGGGAAGGAATAAAATAGAATTTTTCAGAATTCTGAAAACATTTTAAATTTTGTGGATCGTGCATAAATATACCAAACAGTATAGTGAGGTTTACTTAAGATTTGTGTGTTTTTTGCCTAGTTTATCCACTAAAAACAGAAATATCACTAAAATTTTACCAATTATTTTAAGTAAAGTTAATGAAATCTACATGACATTTTTACTAAAAATATGAAACATCAGTGAGAGAAACTAGAAAGAATAAAGAGATATGTCATGTCCATTTTTTGGAAGACTATTTTATAGAGATATCAATTATCCTTAAGTTGATCTAAACTTTGTAAATTAAAATAAAAAACCTGATACTGCTACAATGGGCTAAAATTAAAAGGACAAAGATAACAGTTGTCAGTAAGGATATGGATATTTAGGCACTGTCACAAATTGTTGATAGCAGTGTAAATTAGACATTCATTTCAGAAAACCATTAGATCTTGTTTTCTAAAACTAAGCATATGCATTCACAGCCCAGTAATTTCACTGTTTAGCAGATGCACAGTAGAAATATATATACTTGCTTGATAAAGCATACTTACAAAATTGTTTATAGCAACATATATTTGTAATATAATTCCAGTTGAAAATATCTCAAACATTTGTCACTAGTAGAGTGGATATATTGATACAATGAAATATGAGATTAGACAAACTACACTACATAACATTGATAAATCTTACAAGCAATCAAGAAAATAGTCATCAAAAGTCATATTGCATGAGTTCTATTTAAGTCATGATGACTGGAAAATGGATTTTAAAGGAACTTGGTAAAAATTTTTTTATTTAGGACCTAAACGTATAAAATTACTTTGTGAAAATATCGAGCTCTATGTATTTCCCTGTATAGTATTTCATTTGTAATGGGAAAAAAAGAATTGAAAAGTGTTTCGTACATGTACTGATTCCCCACAGTGAATGCAATCATTATGTACTATGAGCATTTGCTAATAAAAGTCATAAAAGAAAAAAAAAAGAATTACATACTTTCATCTGGAGTGGTTTAAATGTTTTTCCCACTACTTAGGGACCCATTTACTTGGCCAGTTTCTACGACATTGTATCTTCAGACTCCATTTGTAAGTCACTCTCTTCTCACTTCTTGTCCAACTAACCATCCAACTTGTCCAAAAATTGTCTCTGTTGTAAGAAAATAAAGAAGCAAACAATGCCGCCACCATGATCTATATGTCACAAACATGGCTGCCTCAAGTCCTCTTGCCCTTCCTCTTCTGATCAGGAAGCCATTAGGGGCAAACTGACCTGGCCTGATTACTTGCAGTAAAGCTACATATACCAGATTTTTATTTCCTTAATCAGATAAGTTTTGTAGCCAAGCTGAACACAGGTGAATCTCAGGTTTTCTATCTATGCTATGTGATTGTACCTAATCACTTAGGTCAACAGCCTTAATTTTCTCATACATGAAGAGCTGTAATCTTTAAAGAACAATTATTTGCAGTATTTTTGTAAGGATATATTATGTGCTCACTAAATGATGGGTCTAATATTATTTCATCTATAAAATGTAACCTCCTGGGTTTGCTCAAGTATACTTCAGTGCCTAAATGGTAGT